TTCGAAACGCTGCTTACGCTTTTCACTTAATCTTTCAAGGGTGCGCGAATGGCAAAGACTAGAGCAGTTATTGGGTGCGTCACCCATGTTGAACTTTCTATGATCCTGGGAACAGCCGACACAAATAATATGCATTATAAAATAAGATCACTCAAATAAAATTACTAGAATTATTAACCTGGATCTTGTTCGATCTCTTTCGATAATTTCTTTTCGTCCGTTTTCTGCTCGTTTTCCTTCTTTTCCTCTTTCTGCTCCCGCTGCTCTTCTTTCTTCCCCTTTTGTTTATTCTCATCCTTTTCTTCCTTATTCTCGTCCTTTTCCTTGCTATTTTTTTTACTCGCTTCCTTATTCTTTTCTACACCTTTACTCTCTGCCTCGCCTTTCTTTTCCTCTTCATCTTTCTTCTCCTTTTCCTCTTTCTTTTCTTCTCTATCTTTCTTCTCCTCAGCATTCTTCTTTTGTATATCTTCCTTCTTCTCAACTTCTCCTTTCTTCTCTTCATTCTTGGCACCATTGTTCTTTGCTTCCTGGCAAGCACATAATTGAAAAGTTTGAAAAACTTCAAAGGCTAAATAGCAAGATATCTGCATGAGTAGGCAAATTATAACATCCCACTTCTTCCTTACACCCCTCTGTAAGCATTGTCGGCAAAAGCCTACTAATCTGATGATCGGCAGCTAAATTGTCAACTCTTATTTTTTTATGGAACCCGAATTGTGCTCAAATAAATACATTTTGCGGATGTAAGCGCGGATATGTTTCAGTTTTATGGAAACGTAGGAGCCATAGGAGTTGTAGATTTCCAGAGTAATAGTTTACGAGTGAAGGGTGATCTTGTTTTGAACTTTTAGCTCCAAAGATTTACAACTATCCAGAATCAACCTTCCTGTCCAAAGTGTTAAGCCAACCTTTGCCAACGTAAAAACGGCTTACTTATTCATTTTTCATTAGGGTTAGGATCAAAAGATATAATAAATCTCCGATTAGCAATTTTGGCCTCCTCTTTGCCAAGCTGTGCTTTTAAGAAAAGCTCTAGACAGATGATTTATAGAGATAAGGTGGCGGTTGTAGCCACAGTTCACCGCCACCTTTCCTAGAGAGTACAGTGGACGTTAAAAGTGAGATCATAGATGAGTGTCTGTTAGAAGAATCTGCCTCCCTATTTTTTAGCAGAAGGATTATGAAGTCCATTACAGATTAACCGGCAAATTCGCCTCCACCCAAGAAATTTCATCAACGCAACATCGAAAGAAAGGGCTAATCTTGAAAGGCCAATTCCATTAATTGCGATCGATTAGCTCGCCGCAAAAATCCAGAAATGTCCGTTGAAAAATGGGCCAGACAAACTTTGAATTTTGGCCTTCGCCAGAAACACAAAATCCCTGAGCATTAGAGGTGCTCTTCCTGCTGAATCAGTAGCCAAACCTGCGAAGTTCCACCAATGGACATTTGGCTCCAGCTTAGACGAACCATTTTGAAAATATGATTGCTATAAGACAAACTGTGATGAGGAGATCCGAGTTAGATTATTCTAGTGCTGAAAAATAAGATAGTAAGTGGCAAAGTCATGTTATTTTTGTCGCACTTTCACTTCATTGCATTTCACTGCTACAGATCGCCCATTTGCGGATAACGGGACGTGTGCGGAAAATTCTTG